CCCATTTTCACCTGTTCTTTGCCTTTTCATTTAGAATACTGCTATGCGTTGCTAACCAGTTKTACGGTATATTTACGAGTAATGAACGACACATTCGCATCGCCGTTGAAGACGACGCGCGGCTTATTGGCTTCTTACTTCTGCTGCGGTTAGAATGAGCACCGCTGGCGTGTAATTTGCAGTAAATTACCAAAGATCAACGCTAGAGGTCGCTGCTGTTGCTTTGTTCTGTGCATTTTTAATGCGGAAGTACGCATGTCGTGGACATTTGGTGACCACAAACCCAAACAAATTAAAAACAAATCAGCCGTAACAGGTGTTTTTTATGTTTAGCACTGAAGTTACTCGCTTATGAACAGAGCGCTGGACAGAATAAGCAATTAACCGTGTGACATTTGTCAAATAGTATGTCAATGCGGAAATTAAAAATGGTAATGAGAAATTCGAAATGGGAAATGATCGTTTGATATTGTTTATTGTAGAAATTATATTCTTAATTTATTACCAATACTAACTGTATTCGTAAGCAATTTCTTGTTCTCAAGAATGTTCAATTATTTGATTTGCTATTGTAATGATGCGGAAATATACGAGTAATTCACGGTTGTTCTGGGTTTTTCAGATACTTCGTTTAATTTAGAGTGCACACTTGCTTGGAGGGTTAATTGATGGATTAAGCAGATTATCATCTACTGTATTTATCTAGCAAAAAGTTTAAATTCTGGTTAGTGCTAGTATGATCTCTATCATAACACCTATTATCTACCCTCTTTATAATATTTACCCGAAYTTTTGAAAAACTTTGGGCGTTGATAGGGTTCCAGTTTTTGACTCATTGCAAACCGCCGTTGTGCATTAATTTATTTTTCTTGAAAAAGAAAATGCCTACGATTTCTGACTATCAATAAAAAATAATTTGAAATTCCAAAACTGCTGTCAAAAGAAGTTTTCGTCTATTTTCGGTTTTGGTGAATATTGGTTCTTGTTTAAAATTCATAGATTTTGGGTTCTTAATTTACGAATATTTTCTAGTCGAAGAAGCAAATCAAGTTCGCATTAAGCCATATTTTACGGCTCAGTCTGCACTTAGTAGGCTTTCTTCAAGTAAATACTTTCCTTCATAAAAGAGACTACGTCATTTATAAACAACTATTTTATAAGTTCATTGAAAATTCCTGCTTATAACCGTTTTCAAGAATGCTTGCGATATTATAACAGTTGAGTGTTTTCAAAGCCTATTGCTTCGATTATGGTATATTTCATATCCTGAACAGGCTAGGCTAGTAGAAAACGTTGGGTAGCCTTTGTCTGTATATAAGCGAACCAGCCCCTCAGTTTATTAGATAACTATCTGGAATTTTGCACACGTTCAAAGACGCTTTCGATGGCACTGCCAACCACTGGATACCTATTCGACGGAATGCGAAACTCATATCGTTATACTGAATGACTTAAAGCATTGGTTCCGTCAAAGCTTWGTTTTAGGGGTGATTCTCTATCTTGCGTCTTCTATAACACAAGTATAACGCTGCAAAAATTGATACGCGCCGCCAATAGGTACATTGACAACGTGGGCCTTAACAACAAAATCCTCAACACAGTCTCTTCCAGCTAAGAAAAAGAAGCGAAAAAGTTTAGAACGGTGGTGAACGAAGACAATACACAGGAGGGCCGTTTGCGTGACATTTGAATATCGAGGAAGACGGAATTACGATATGTGTGAGCTCTACGGTAACATAGTTAAGAGCATAAAAATCCAACGACTGTACTGTTTAGACCATATCGTTCGAATGGAAGATGGAATGCTCCAGCAAAAAAGCTCCTTCGACTTGAGATCTATAATTGTAGAAAGGATGCATGGGCATCTAATCCACACAACCAATGGAATGACCACTTGTGTAGAGATCTTTCTGCACTTAGTATGTATAACCGATGTAACCTCTCAAAGCATAGAGGCGACTCGTCCCAGACCGATCCACAGTTGAAGTGCCAAGAAAGAGAAGTKATTTAAGGATTTTCTTTTACCGACCGCCATATTTCACAAACATAACGTTGATATGAAACAAAAATAGATTCTTTGAATTGCTTTTACTTTTAAGAGTTTTATAGGAATCAAAAAATACTTCATACTGAAACAAATCACATGCAAATTAAGGGTTTTATTATTTCTCCTACCAATCATTAATCTATCCGTTTTTATGAGACCAAAAAGATGCAACAGAGAATTAAAAATCACTTTACACAATTCCTCGCACTAAGTAAAAACTACAACTGTCAAAAAACACTAAAATATCAATGCCAACCCTCGTAACAGAAGCTTTGTTAGTTGTTATTGCTTCAGCRCTTTCCGTTATGGTATGCAACTTTATTTAGTAGAGCCAAAGCCTGACATTTCTGTTGACACAACCCTCCAATATACCCTGACAGGAGCAAACGGGCCAAGACCCTTCCAGTACTAAACTTTGTAAAGTCAACTTCTTTGAATTGCATTTACTCCGCAAAATCCGCTTCGGCCACAGGTAATGTACATCATTACCATTATGGCTACAGCTACATAATCAACATAATCATTACAAGTTTCGCCCGTACAGCTGCAACCATCTAACGCTGGACAGTTGGAGTTGGTCCGTAGTTAAGCAGCTGGTGCCTCAGTTAGAATTGGCYGGGCCAGACGGTCGGGTGAACAATGGTGCCAGCGAACAAATCAATTTTCCTCGCATYGCACGGGGCATGCAGCACACTACCGAGTACATGTGGCATGCGGCATATTCGCCCATTTCGCCTGCCACATTTGCAATAAAATGCAAATGCAAATTTTCCACTAGCTTTTCGCATTTGCTACTCCAACGGACTCCAAATGGATCGCCGCTTTGTCGACTGATCTCACGGTTGGCTCGTGTTCATTTGCCGGCAGTAAGCACACCCATTTTTTATGGTACTAAAAAATGATTTGCTTGCTTTGAGCGGTACACACACACATATAAAAGTGCGAGGAAATTTTTTATTTGTTTAAACTTTTGCTCCCCTCTGCCGTTTGTCAGTCTGTGCATTGCAAACGCTATTTAATATATTTCAATATTTTCTGCATTGCATTGATCTTCTGCTGATCTAGCTTAGAGGAGATGAGCTCGCTCGCGTTCGGTGTTGATCGATTTTCTTGCACTTTGTCTCGTTCGCATTACCTCAGTGCAATGATAACAGCGCTCGCGATGACCCTTAACGATCCACACACCTAAGTTTGTCTGCTGTATTAATTTTGTGAGCTAATTTAGTCATTTTGATTACTTTGACCCGAAAGTTTGTAGCTGGTGTGCCAAACAGCTATCGACGGTATCGATTGCAGAGGTCAATAAGTTCAATTGTTGGACACAAGGTGGAAGACTTGCGACTGTTGCAGTTGTCCCGCATGCTAATACTCGCAATATGAAGTGTGACTGTTAAATACTGAAGTACTGAAAAACTGAGAATAAAAACGCATCTAATCCAGTATCASGCTGAATGTTTATTGGAAAAACTGTTTTATCGACTGTGGACATTTTTTCTATAGGGAACCATTTATGTTCCTCTTTAATAGATTTGTGAGAAACCTCAAACCCCAAAAACTATTATTTTACGTAAGGTTCAAGCAGCTAACGACTTCCGGGCCTAGACCAAGTATCTTCTGGGTAGCCAAAACCACTCCCCCCCACCCAGGGTGGTGCGCTGGGTTCGGGACTCGCCACCTAAATATACACCCGCAATGAAAAGGATACAACAGCCTCTGAAAGAAGGCTCCGTGAATGTCCGGTCTCTTAATTGGGAAGGTGGTGCTACCCAGCTGATTGATGTGCTCGTAAGAGTAAAGGCTGATATCAGCGCCGTCCGGTAGGAGACACACTCCGTCGCCGAGCCCTGACATTTACCACKGTGGAAGAACGTCTAGCCACAATCCGCATCAAAGCGAAGAAAGATGTCTTTTATGAGCGCTTGAAGGGAATCTATGAGAGCTGCCACCGTCACGATGTCAAAATTGTGCTTGGCGACTTTAACGACAGGATGAGCAAAGAAGTTATCTTTAGCAGAACGGTCAGTAAATTCAGCCTCAACTTCCCCGGGTCCCGAAGTATGGTTATCTGTAGTACTAGATACCAGCATAGGAAAATTCATCAATCTCGATCATGTCACTAGCTCCGAGATCCTAACATCGACTCACACCACTGTCTTGTTACAGCAAAGACCCGCACTTGCATCTGTGCAGCAAGAAAAGCATGTCAACAAACACAAGAAAGGTTCSACGTCGAGAAGTTGCAAATGCAACAGCAGCCTAACGATTTTCTACTCGACTTACTCCCTGAGAGCAGTCATCAGCAACTCGGCATAAGAGAACTACCCAACCATTGGTTTTCGGAAATGGCAAAAGAACAGCTGGTACGATGAAGAGTGGCAGTGTAGAGAAAAAAAACTGCCAACAGCACAACGTTATAGTAGACCACAGTMCCCGCCGGGGGAAGGCAGAGGAAGAGGAAGAAAGTAGAGTACTCCATTGGAAATACCAGGCGGAAAAGGTCCTAGCTACACTTGATATCTCCAATTGGCGCCAAACAGCGTTTCGACTATATTTCCTGATTCGCCGGAGGTATGAGATCCGTGAGTGAATATAATGTCATCTACAGTACAGTCCACCAATCGGATTTGCCAGCGAACCGGGCGATGATTGTCCCAGCGGGAAAGGGATTGCCAAGCATCAATACCTTGGACGCCCACTAAAATAGTCACAGGATTTTACTAGGCGAAAACGCCCCTTTCCATTATCATAATGTGGTACATCGAATTATACTTCGCCAACGCCATKAAGGAATTGGTCGAATTGGGCTATGGACTGCTGACATATCCATTGTATTCTGTCTGTTTCAAAATATGAAAATGATGGACRTCAAATTTTTGTTTTTCTTTGTAGGCTAAGTACTTATTTAAAATTAAATAACTTCACAAATTTATTATTTCTCCAAATTATCCTTAATAATACATCTTTGTCGTAATCAACTAATAAGCTCATGATTTTATAGCAGGATTGGTTTTTAGTAAACTATTTTTTTTACAAATATTAGTATTTTTTATATTTATTACATTTCAAAATAGCCATTATATAGAAATCTTGACAGTAGCACTCGTAACTCATCCAGAAGTTTTGGGTCTTCCAATTCTTTTCTTAGTACTTCCGCATTTTCGAGCACCTCCGCAATATCCTTATTCTCATCGGCCAATATATAGTTGAATAATAGGAAACAGAGGAGTAAAAAAAGTCCTGTTTATGAAAAATGTATGTAAATGTTTTAATTCTCAATGTCATTAACAGTTTTACACAATTTAAACATGAAATTGTAGTCTGTCATGTACGACAGCGAAAGCAGCCTATTTTCCACGTAAACCTTTAGCGCATTCAGAATCTGCTCCGCGTTTCGTCAGGTATCCGAAGATGCTGCCCTAGTAATCGCAAGCTTACACCCATTAGACCGCTTAGCCAGAGAGCTCACATACCCYTCAAACGAGAAAGTAACAACCAGAACACAAAAAGAGAAGCCACAGCAAATATGGTGAAGCGCTGGCAAAAACGATGTGAAGACAAACGAAGTGGTCGCTGGACATTCCGGCTAATTCCCAATATTAAACTATGGCTAAAAAGATCTCAYGATGAAGTAGATGTTCACCTAATCCAAATTCTCACTGAACACGGATGTTTCAAATCATATTTGAAGCGATTAAAACACGAATACAACGACATGCATTATACATGCGTGCAAATATTGCGGARACGAGATCATCGAGTATGTGAAGCACACAGTGTTCCATTGTGCGAAATATGAGGAAGTGCCTTTCTTCCTTTTAAAAAAAAAGGCATTCGCGATAGACCCAACACCAGAAAATCTAGTGTTTCAATTGRTGGAATCACTAGATAAGAGAAAGCCGTGTGCGAAGTGGCAGCCAAAATAATCAAACACCAAAGAGCTATAGAGCAACAACGTAGAAGGCTACTTCAAAATGCAATACAACTTAGACTCGACACACAAACCATGACTAAAGCAGACAAGAAAGGTTGGATGACAATTACAGTGCAAGCGGGGCTATGAGAAAAACCGAGATAAGGCCAAGTAAGCTTGTTWCTGAATGCRTTAAAAGTGGGAWGTTTAGTTCGGATTAAAGTTCATGGGGTTTAAGCTGTCGATCCCCATTTCGATATACTATATGTATGTAGAACCAACTACACACTTTAGGAAAAATAAAGTTATCGGAATCAAAAACGTGATCTTGAAACCTTACGAATTTGTAGTATAATCCTTGACTTACCCCAATATCTATGTTTTGYCAATTCCTGGCGAATTTCTATATGTGTAGGAATGTGACCTTTGTATTCCGTTTTGCGCAGTGTCTCTTGAAAATTCGTGATATAGAAATAGAGTAGCTCGTCATAGTGATCACGACGCATTTCTGGGCCAAACATCATTATGAACGCATAATGAAGATCAATCGCCGGCGAACCGAATATGCTGATTTGATAGTCAAGCTACACACAGAAAAGGGTAAGGAGCAGAAATCAGTAATTCTTTTATTAAGTTATATAGTAAACTGCTTTGCTTACCAGCATAACATCAGTCAGTGTGTCCTCATTTTTCTTTATCATTATGTTTTTCAAATGAAAGTCCCCATGGTTGACCACAAAGATGCCATCGCGTTTACCACTGCCGGCTTCGTTAAACATATCGATCGACTTTTCGCATAGTAAGTGTTCGACGGATGCGATGTATGGCACATATTGTTTCAAATCACCGCTTTCGCTTAGGATCTCCTTCAGAAATCTAATACCATATTTAACATGTGGAAATGTAGTGGGGTCGGCAGAGTTCATTGAGCCCTTATCTAAAGTCATTATGATATTGTCCTCCTAAAAAAAACGTACAAGTCCATTGAAAGAAGTTCTAGTTTCAAAATATGTTTGTTTTGCTCACCTCTTCCTTGCACAATTTGTAGCTGATGGCATGCAATTTTGCCAGTTTGAGAAGAGTAATTTTCATTTCCTCCAAATTGGGATGACGGTACCCTATTGTGGTGTAGCCTTTGAGTGCTAAATCTTCAAAAACCACATATGACGGTGTGGTGGTGCTGGAGGCGATGAGCCTTTTCCAAAAAACATTTAAAAATTTACCTTCATTGTCGATCTGTTGTTTAGCTTTGGTTTACTCACTTTGGTCCCAAAATGGTGTTGTCGCCATATTGTCTTAGCACCTTTTCGATCATCGGCAGCACTTTWGTATACATGGTTATTTCCGTATCAAAATAACTATAATTTTTCGTCACTTCTTTCTTGTTTCCCTCCATGAATGGTTCRACYTTTAATATGAACGATGAAACCTTCTCTTGTGTTGGCTGCGACGGCAATCTATAGGTGACTTTGGCTCGAAACAAAATGCTTGCGTAGTTATCATTTYTCAATGTGCCTGGTTTCAGCTCTAAATTGGTGATCTAAAAATTGAAGTTTTATTTCAAAAAGTTGTGAATTTGTAATACGGACACACACCTTCGCGTTTTCAGTTTCGATGTTTTTCAGAACGTTTTGGAAAAATGCATCGTTCAGCCATTCCGGGATAATGAAATCACCTTCGCTGCGCTTCTCGTTATTTGTCATTGCAATGCTGCCCTCAAATTGAAAATGTTTATCTTCCGTATTTCGTGGGGCTTCAATTGTAGAAGTCAAACAATGAAGCTCGCGCCACTTTTGTACCTACTGATCACTTCAAATACTTCAGATTTTACAATTCGTTATCTAAATTTATTAGTTATTTTTGCAATGCCTTATCGCCTTATTGCATTCATAAGAGTTGTGGTGCTGGATGTTGAAGGGAAAACGAAGCTCTTCAGAGGTAAAAATAGTTTTAATTAACTCATAATGCACAATAAGTTTTACAGATASCTCCTCGTATTCAATTTCATTGAGGCAGCTAAATTAGAAAGCTRTTATAGACTAACTAAATGGTTAACTATCTTATCATTTAATAGCAATAAATACAAACATAACATGAGCTTGATACTAAAATAAATCGTTTTAATCAATCTACTCTCTTTTACGTAGCGACCGCATTTATAGARAGGAGATTTAGAAATGGTATTAATATTGATGTGAAAGCTTGGTGAAGCTCAACAAATGGTCGCTAAACCAGGATTGACGCCTCGAAAGGTTTGCTGAGTATTTGGTGGGATTTTAAAGGAATTATTCACTATGTGCTGCTCCAGCCTGGTCAAACCATTGATTCTACATTTTACTGTGAACAACTGATGAGATTGAAGCAAGTAATTGAAAATAAGTTGTCGACCAAAATGGTACATATCTGGTTCATTAAAGTTCATTATAAATATAAGAAAAAAATAAGTTGAAGTTTGATTAGAAATGCGAAAAGACTTTTTTGACTACCCTCTATAAATAAATATATAAATGATCAACGCGACAAAATTGAGTCGATTTAGCCATGTTCGTCTGTCCTTCTGTATATTCGCAAACAAGCCGCTCAGTTTTGAGGCATTGATCCGAAATTTTACACACGTTCTTTTCTCGCCAAGAAACTTTTCATCTTTCGGAACCGACGATATCGGACCACTATAGCATGTAGCTGCATTGATGAGTGCTATGTGGAGCTATTTTAAAAACGGAGTATAAGTTTAATTGACGAATTTTGCTAAAATCGTTGCGATATGTTCGGAAGAGTAATGAAAAGGSAGTTAAAAAGTTAAAAACCAATTTTTCATTCGTGATTACTGCGACCATGTTATAATCGAAGTAGAGCTCATATAAATTGTAAACAGCTAAATTAAATAGAAGTATCTAATTATAATATCTCCAGAACAGAGTATAATGACGTTGCCACAAAGTGTTTAACATCCAGAAGTAAACGTCGGAGGCCCTGTAAAGTACATAACATGAATGCTAAGCGTTACGAGCTGAGCCCATTTATCCATGTATCTCTAACAGCCCGTTTGCATATACGGGAATTAGTCTCTTAGGTTTTGAGAGTTCTAATTGAAAGTTTGGATCCTCAAAAGCAGCTGCTGATTTGTCCGAACCACCGATATTGGACCACTATAGTATGTAGCTATTGTACAAACCGACCGATCAAAATCTAGTTCTTATAAGGAAAATTCTGTATTTTTAAAGGGATGTTTTTGTTGTTCTTGTTTTTTTTTTTTAATATATTCAAAAGTTACATACCAATATACAAGATGGCCTGTAGAGATTCCAGATTAAAACAAAAAACTCTATAAAAAATTCACCGAAAATTATGTAAGATGTTTYGAGTTCATTTCTGCTTGAAAACCCAACTGTATTTGGAATTAAGATAAATATTTTATATTATCAAATTATTATTAACCCTGCTCAACTATCCCTTCCTATCCAATGTGTTCACTTTTTTAGTTAACACATTCTCTATCTAAACTCTGTCACAAATTGATCAAACTTTCTAAATTGAAGTTTCATTATTAGAGGCGCTTTCTCGTACCATATCCTAAGAAAGTGTAACGTGAGCATATTGTATAAGTTTCGAGATTGGCAACTGTTAATCGAAAAGACACTGTCACGCGAGTGTCAAAACTACAAACTAAACCAAACGAACTGTCATTGGTGCAAATTAAAATAAATAAATGACACTTTTCATGCGAATTTTGTTTGTTTAGCCTGACAACCCAGGCATGACCCGAGCAAATCTCTAATCAAGTACGAAAGAGATGGAGGCACAGCCAAATGCCAGATGCAGAAAACAATGGCAGGCGGCAGTGAGAGAGGCTCACATAGCAAATGTCATTACATTAACAAAAACAAAGAAATCAGAGAATAAAAAAACAGCAAAATCGGCAGCGAAAAAATTTTCTRGGCTTCGCGACGAGTGCAACGACGATGGCACAGAAATCAACACTCGGAAATTGGCGCAAATAATTGCGGCGTTCATGTGTATGTGTTTATGTATGAAAAAGCTCAAACTAACTACCAACGAACTGCGTTGCATGCAACCGAAGCATGTGAGGCAGCAACAGTTGCAGCATTAGTAGCCTTATTTTTAACCCTGTTAAATGTAACAGAAAATTATTGCGGACAACAAACGCTAGCAGCMAAGCCAACAAACAGTCAGCAACTACGATGATATGATCAGTATGCAACAACAAATAGGAATTTTCTAACAATGCCTGCAGACTTGCGAGTGAGGGTGTGCGTTGAGAGTGAGAGAGGCGGTGAGGGAGAGTCGGTTTGGTTGCTGTTACAAATTTCTAAATCAAAGTTACGCTAACGAAGTCACCAGCAACGACAAAGCGACAATGGCGATCACAATGACGACAACAACAACAAARCACAAGCGTTACAACAACAATACCGAATGTGCGCACATTAAATGGTGTTAACAATCAACACCAACTAGTTGCAACAGCTGCCACCAGTGACAACAAGCACTACAAGAACAACAACAGWGCTCCTGCAACAACAACAAAAACATGCACTCCAACAATGCTATGCCAATAAGTGGGCAATAATGTAAAATGGCAACTCAAGTCGGCCGAAGGCGCTCATAAATTGTTGCCACCACCACCATTGGTGGCAATAAGTGTACCAGCAACAACAACAACAACAACAATGAGAACATTAACAACCGCAGTAGTAGCGACAATATCAATATTATTGCAGACGCAACAACAAATTCCACAGGAATGCAACAGCAGCAGCAACAACAACAGCAATTAGGGAAACTCCACAAGTGTCAAGTAGGCGACGYGGCAGACAATTGAAGACACAAATCGCCAACTACATAACCGCATGATCAACGAAAMCAACAACAGYAGCAACAACAACAACAAAGTGTTAGATACCACAACCAACACATATTATACATATGTATGTACAAGTRTATATCTAAGATCCTTAAATCACTGCAGCTYTGCCTTCRACTCGTCGCCGCCTCTGCGCCCACAACCAGTTGCAATGGGTGCTGCTCCCGCATTTGCTGCCAATTAAATTTTGGAAATCGACAATAAAATTTGTGGCAGTAATAGTCGATTGTTTGCTCTCTTGGTGTCTCTGGTTTCTTYTCCGTTAACTTAAATAAATAAATATATACCTGGAAGAACACATGTAATAATCGTGCAATCTATTTTGTTTGAAGGAAGGAAGGTATGTACTTAAGCAGGTAAGTTCGACTTCGGCGAAATTTTTTACACCGACAGCGAACTCAAACCAAAATAAGAAAATTCGGTTACTTCGGCTGCCCGAAACTACAATGCAGTCGAAGTTAACGTTTTTTTCTTGTTTTCCCCGAACTTTATGACAATTTTTGAATTATAATCCGTGCTAAATTTCATGAASATACCTCGTCTAATTTAAAAGTTTTCTATACAAGACCATTATTTTGATAGCTATATATTAGGTTATCAAAAAAGTCTTACGATTTTTTTTTATTGAATTTTCAATTGTTCATAMAATTTTTTTTGATGACTCATGCCCAGCTCTTAACCGATGCTACGRCTGCTACTATGCCGGTCACTTTCGAGCAATTCAGCGATTTTATCGCAATTTTCGACGACATGCTTTCCGGAGCGTGGCGCATCTTCGACACCTCTACACCAGAACGAAAACGTTGAAACCATCGTTGTGCGGTGGAAATGGAAACTGTATCGGGTCCATAAACTACACAAATTTTATTTTCGGCTTGAGGTTCTTTTTTGCCTTTATCGTAGTAGTACTGTAAACTATGCCGTATTTTCTCTTTATTTTGCTCCATGTTTGCGACGCTATAACTCACGAACGACTTAAAAGAAATGACAATCAATCAAACACGTGTTAGCGCGTGAAATAAGACCCGATGCGACGAAGAGAACTAGAACTACGCGCTCTCAGCTCCCACTAGCGAAAATACCGCAAGACTTTTTTGACAAGCTAATATTATAGTAGTATATTATTTGATAGCTGCAAATAAGCAACTTCGTGAGGAGAAAAGGGCGTGTGCAAAATTTTAGGACGATTCGCTTATATACAGACAGACCGGCATGGCATCGTCAAGCTTTTATTGTTTAGTATAKAATATATATTATGGATTCCCCAACCTTTCCGTCTGGCTGTTATAAGCTTCGTAAGACACTTAATACACCATGTTCATGGTTTAAAAGCTCTTAATAGGAACACGAGAGTTTTAGTAATAGTAAAAAACTCTCTTAGAGTTTCGAAATTAACATTTTTGTAAACWTCATTGTTAATTTGAATTCTAAAAATTCTAAAACATTTCATACAAATTTTTCTCCAAAACTCCACTTTTCAAATCTAGAGATAATGGTATACGAGGTCTAAGGTACTAAGTTGCATTTTATATTTCGGGACTTAACAACATTAGTGWTGCAATCTGAAACTCACAACTTTATCGTAAAGTTTGACATTTTTGATGCTTTGCWTACTCACATCGTTTTGACAACCGAGCATCATTTGTGTTGTTCACAGTAATTTAAAGTATTCAACTCGATTAAAAAATGTATTMAAATCGGCAACATATTCGCACCATTATTTTTTACAACTTTCGATGTGGGTTAACTCATCAATAGGGCATAGATGAKATAGATAGACAGGACCAGAGCTGCGTTCAAACGAGGTCGTAGATCACTTCAAGACGAATTTCGGTATGATCGTCCAAAT